GGGGGATTAAAACCCTATCCGTATGCCTCGGGGTCATTTTGTACCCACGGGGTTGTATTCTTCACATTTTAAAATACTTCTAGTTCGAAGATCTCTTTGAAACTTTCAGTATTTCTCAAAAAATCATTTTGACAGACTGCTATGCTAAGCGTACGAATCGGGTAAACGAGCAAATTTCCTCTTTGGAAAGTGGTGGCACAGAGTTCCCCACGCCGTATGGATACGATAATAAAACACGACATACGGATAGGGTGAACTAAACGTATGTTCCCAACTCTCGAATGTTCTTTGGACAGTACAAAGCTGACCCATTTTCTGTGCTACAGATTCGCTGGAACAACTTGTAATTGCTGCTTTCTAGATGGTACCAGTTACAGACTGATCAGCTCTGAAAATCACATCTTCAAATAGGCATAGAACGTATAGCCGATTGAATCTGTCTGGATATTGTAAGCCTGAATTGAAGTAAGGACCTTTTTTATTAGAGTATTCCCTTGCTTTGTGTGATAGGAGCTTATCCACGCTTGCTGTCATTATTGTACTCTAGGTTATTTGATAGACAGTGTTGTGAAATCAGGCGCTCGTCATATTAATTAAATTGAAGAAATTGTCATTTTCCGCCAGTTTGACAATTTTTATCGAAACTTTTTTTTTTTACTCGATACCTTTTATGTCAATTCAAGAACTCATTTCTGTGTGGAAAACGTTAATTAAAGGCATAAAAATTATTAATTGCCAGTTTCCACGGGCTCTTAAGCCATGTAAATTGCCAAATTTTGGCGGCCATTTTCTCGCTAATTTTACCTCTGAAACCAAGCGACCCCCCACCTCCTTCAACCGCGAATGTCTCAACTTATATTCAAGATGAATAGGTAATTCGTTCACTGAAAACAAGACAAATGTACAAGCTTTAAGGCGATACCAATAACTTCACTTGTCCATAAATTGACGAGTGTCTCATCCCACCGCCCGTGACACCTATTGCTCTTTATGAAGATTGTGCACCAAAAACAAGCATTTCGACAAACGTTTGAATCACTGCGCTTTTGTGACACTTTTCATTTGTAACGTTCATTTTTATCAGCTATCAGCATACCTCGACATGCAAACTATGCCTTCGACAAAAGTAGAAAATACATAATAAAATCTTTAAAATACCAATTGTGTGTCTTCTTATATTCTACCTCATGCACTGACCATCGTGCTTGTTGTTCCTTACTTATCTTATGAAGGATGTAATGCCCCAAATTTGTGTAAATTTGGTATAAAATTGTATTGAAGTACTCCATTGTTAAGTCCGGGTTCGAGCCTTGGTTCGGACACGGATTTTGTTCGCCTCTTCCTGCCCATCCAGCTGTAATGGGTACCTGGCGTCGAGTTGGGGAAGTAAAGGTGGCGTGGAAAGGAACTGGCCACCCTACCACAATATTATTAAGTCGAAGACCCAGGAAGTTGTCTCACTAACAAGGCAATCCCCAATGTCCGAGTCGGATGCGGGAACAACTTTACTTTTTTTTCCTCCATTGCTGCTGATGTAATGGTATTCAAGTCACTCAGCTTCTCCTAGATGACAATCTTTATTCATCTCTCAGGGAGAAATTTGTCTTGGTCGTTTACAATGGCAGTGGGTGTTACAAAGGTTGGGTACACTCACGCATATGCACAAGACAGGACATTAGTAAACCGTGTTTACTTCTGTAAATCCCGACAAAGCAAGAGTTGCTTGCTTAGACTGCAACATTCCTTTCATTAGTAAAAAAAAAAAATTTTTTAAAAGGGAATTTGACCCTGCGTCCATTTCCCATAGAAGTGAGCGAGGCGTGCGATGACCCAAGAAAACTTGATTAATCAAACTACCCTCGATCAAGAATGCATTGTTATGACGCGAACCACAGTCGCCAAGAACACATTTCAGTAATGACACACAAACACACGCACGCACACACACACACACACACACACACACACACACACACACACACACACACACACACACACACACACACATATATATATATAGATAGATAGATAGATAGATAGATAGATAGATAGATAGATAGATAGATATATATATAGTGGATGGGTGTATATACAATATATGTATATATACATGTTCATTTATTCATTTGTTTGTTTGTTTATTTATCTATTTATTTATTTATGCATTCATGCATTTATGTATTTATTTATTTTATTTTTCAATTTTGTTCAGATAGATAGATAGATAGATAGATAGATAGATAGATAGATAGATAGATAGATAGATAGATAGATAGATAGATAGATAGATAGATAGATAGATAGATAGATAGATAGACAGCGTGTCCGTCATCCCATTTCTCCTTCTGTCTCTATACGCTTAAACAAAATTACACTCAATGGATAGTGAAACTTGAAACATTAATTCTTAAGTAAGTTACGTTTTTGGTGAAATTGAAACATTAATTGTTAAGTAAGCTACGTTTTCTGTGAAACTTGAAACATTAATTCTTAATTAAGTTACCTTTTCTGGGGAAACTTGAAACATTAATTCTTAATTAAGTTACGTTTTCTGTGAAACTTGAAACATTAATTCTTATAAATTGAGTTACGTTTTCGGCGTAATCAAGGCGAAGGAGGTGTTGCCATAAGCTCCCTGTAGTGCCACAGAGAGGGTTCCTTTGCTGTCTCGGCCAGATGATGACATTGTCACTTTGACCACGTACTGATAGCCTAGTGAGGAGAGACGGGTGGGTTTTTACTACACGGGGGAGGGGGTGGAGACAAAGAGAGGGGGGAGAGACAGAGTAGGGGGGGGGGGGGGGGAGATAGAGGGGTGAGAAGGGGTGGAGAGAGACAGAGAGAGAGAGAGGAGGGAGAGAGAGCAGAGAGAGAGGGAGGGGAGAGAGAGAGAGAGAGAGAGAGAGAGAGAGAGAGAGAGAGAATGACAGACAAGCAAACAGACAATAACAAGAGACAAGCGCGCTGAAACGTGTTCTTTATATATATTAAAACGGCGAAGAGAAAGACAAGAATATAGAAACAGAGACAGAGAAAGAAAGAAAAAGATAAAAGAGCGAAACAGACTGACAACTCTTTCGACTCCAGGCCCCTCTTCCTCTCCAACCTCCCCCCTCCCCCCACCCCTCCTCCACCAAACCAAACACAAATAAAACAATAGCCGTAATACTGTATTTATTCACGTCTGAGGTAGACATATAGACGCATGCACACACACGCACACACACGCGCGCGCGCGCATACACACACACACACACACACACACACACACACACACACACATACACACACACACGCACACACACGCACACACATATACAAACAAACAAACAGTTTTACAAACAAACAAGCAAACAGAGGTATTCAGACAAACAAAGAAACAAACAAACAGAGATACATAAACAAAACAACAGAGATACACAAATAATCAAACAAACAAACAGAGATATACAAACAAACAAAAAAGATACACAAACAAATAAAAAAAATAGATACACGAACAAACAGAGTATCAAAAGCCCACCGCAATAAGGCTTCGATATCCGAGTGCGCAGAAACATGCGTCCTGTGCCGTAGAACTGGTTGGCATAGTAACCCATAGAACTACAGCCCGTGGTGCCGCAGTCAGAACATTGGCCGCTCAGAAACTTCTCCTGTAGTGAATGGATGGATGGATGGATGGATGGATGGATGGATGGATGGATGGATGGATGGATGGATGGATGGATGGATAGATGGATTGGTTGATTGATTGATGAGTGGATGGATCGGTCGGCTGGTCTGTTGGTCGGTCGATCACTCGGTCGGTCGGTTGAATAGTTGGATGATTAATTGATTGCTTGATGCATTCATTCATGTGATCATTCGTTGATTAATTCAAGAACTTTTTTTATAATTAGTTGATGGATCAACTGATTGATTGAAATAGTTGATTAGTTAGTTATTTGGATCGTTGATTGGTAAGCCAAATGACCAACTGAGTGGCTGTTTGTTCGCTTATTTGTTACATTCGTGTAAATGTTCTTCGCCTTTATCCGCATACATATGGTTTAGATCATGTAGAGATTAGACCGTGGACTACTCCTTCCCTGCTTTGTAGGGTCATTAGAACTGTAGGGCCATGATGATGATGATGATGATGATGATGATGATGATGATGATGATGATGATGATGATGATGATGATGATGATGATGATGATGAAACGGAACGTCGAACTATATTTTAAGCTATGGTACACTAACATTGTCTAAACTACATGTATAATAGCATAGCCTCCATCAAGTCTTTTTTATGTATAATACATGTAATACGGAAAGTTGAACTTAGCTTTTGACACACTAAAAATGGCTGTACTATGACATTTATAATAAAACCTCCATTATGTCTTTTTTTAAGGTCGCTCTTAAGTACAAGCTGTTTTGAGGAAATCGAGGGTAAAGTTTCTGCCCTTTTTTCAGTTTCTTCAAAAGACAAGGAGAGTTGTCTCAATAACCAAACAATTATACGTACCAATGAAATCAAACTTCTCTTATGGGTAAGGCAAGGCCTATTTTTGGTGTAGGTCAAGATTTCTGGAAACCCCCGAAATCTGGGTTAGCCCGCTTGTCCTTAAAAGCTTAAAAGCGACCATACTAAAACGGAACGTTGAACGAACTATGTTTTTGATACACTAAAGTGTGTAAATTACGTGATGTAGTCTCCGTGCGGTGTGGTTTTTTTATCAATATTTAGAACTATAATGATGGTGTCTAAAATTCAAACTGGTTGGATTGTCTTACGTAAGTGTCACAAGGGAATCCTGTGAACGTGCAGTTTGTGGTGACTGATTCTGTGAAAATGTCATGAGAGCGGGCGTGGCTGCAGCTCACGTCGTCTCCGACAGAACCTCCTAGGGAATGGGAGAGGAGAATCTTGTTAGAGGAATGCTGGGAGTTTTCAAACAAAATCAGTTAATTAAAGAAATACATTTATATGTTTTTGTTTGTTTAAGTTAGGCACAGTGGAGCTTATTCACCCTTGAAACGTGATAAGAGAATAGTGCTAAAGGAGTGATCAGATTTTTTTATATAAAAAAACAAACATGAAAATATTTTTGTTGGTTTATGTTATGTACAGTTGAGTTTATTTTCGTTTGAAACGTGAGAAGAGAATCTTGATAGAGGAATGCTGAGATTGATTTTTTTTTTATGAAAAGCATTTGCATCTATTTGTTGATTTGAATATTCGCCTGGGAAACTCGAGAAGAGAATCCTGCTTGAGGAATGCTCTGATTTTTTTTTTATGAGGAGGGGCGGCTCGTCCATAGAGCACGGTCGTGCATTGCCGCCCAAAAATTTTAGCTCACAACACCCACAAAGTGACAACAAAGGAACCTTTACCATCCACCATCCAATCAGTTTTCCGTACAAGTTCCTCGCCAGAACCTATTCGTTCATTACAACATCTACAACAACTCTAAAACATCTGCTATACCATATCACGTTCTTGTACTTCACCCAAGTAAAAAATAGTATGTTCAGTGGTGTAATCTATCTCGGAAAATGCTCTATGGGCAGACCCAAACAACGATGACGTTTTGACCGAGTTTCTTAGTTCATAAATATTAATAAGGCGGCACAATCTCAACGTGCACCAGCCGAACAAAGTCCATAGAGACAGTCTAAAAATAACGCGATCTCAGACCAGTTCACGATAACCTACACAATTCAATGCCGTATTATGAATTATGATAGATTTGGTGCAATCCACCGGAGTGCTCCCAGCGATGTGTGATTGGTCCATTCTATTTCCATTTATATCTCTGGCCCCACCTCTGTAACCTTGAACTTGAGCGAGGTCTACATGACGTAATTAGGTCATTGTGTTAGCCTGGAAGTTGGAACGGTGTAGTGGTGAAAGTTTTATTACTCGAGTGTGTATTCCTATGCAGGATGAATGAAGTTGATTGCAAATAAATTCAGTTCACCAAATAAAGTAACAAGAAGAGAGTGAATGAATTAAGTACTCACCAACCCAAAAACATCAAAATGATACAATGAATAAAAAGTGGAGTGGCTTACAGTCAGCGTTAGCAAATTATACTCATTGTAGACCTAGATTAGGCCTACTGTTTCTCTTGTCTGCTTTTTGGAACTGAGGACCCCAAGAAGTCTAAGACAGGTTTTACTGATCTTGTCCATGTGAAACAAAGCATTGAAGTCAAAAGTCATCAAGAGCGCGAAGCGTGCGTAAAAAATTCCGTTAAATATCATACTTTCGGACAAGTAGACATAGCAGCTAGTCGTAGGTCATCGCATTGCAACGTCTCATTTTAACAAAACTGATGAGAAAGAACAGGCACGTATTGTGTAATACGGGGTGCTCACTACGGATCGCCCGACTCGATCACCTCAAAAACAAACGTGTTATTAGTTATTAGTATAGTTATTTTTTGCCCTTTTTCGTCCCTCCCCCACTCCCCGTCCCTCTTTTTTCTTCGTTTATTTATGTATGTATGTATGTATTTGCGTATTTATGTATTTGTGTATTTATGTATTTGTTTATTTGATTATTCATCTGTTCTTTTATTTATTCTTCCATTCTTTCTTCCATTTGCTCATGTATTCATTTATTCATTCGGTTATTTATTTATTTATTTATTTATTTATTTATTTATTTATTTATTTATTTATCTTTCCATTCATTCATTCATTCATTTTTGGAAAGTGTGTGTCTTTGGGGTGGCCTGGGGGAAGGGGGTGGGTGGTACGCCAGTTCATACAATTAATAAACGCAAGAGCAAAAAAAGTGTACTGATGTAGTGACCTAGTTACCGGACATGAGACTGGACAAAGCCCCGCCCACTCCGTCCTGACAGCCGGGCTGGGTCTCCCCTCCATTGACGTAGAAGTCCACGTGACCACACTGCTGCAGCATGCCGGCCCCGCCCTTGATGAACTCCGCGCCATTTGTGTGAATGACGTCAACAAACATGGCGTCTCCCGCGTCCAATCGGACGAGAGAAGGGAGGCATTGGAAATCCGGGTCAGCAGGGTCCATTCCTGGAGGAAAGACGGGTGGTTCGGGTGATTTTGTAGTTCCGTTCACGTGGAGCTAGCGAGAGCACACTACACCGGCTTCTGGTTGGTTAAAATATATAAATGAAACGACGTCACAAGGACGATAGCCTACACCGGCTTCTGGTTCGCTAAAATGTATTGCTAGATCTAGAGTCATTCAGACTACACGTATCTATTTTACAATGACTTGATTAACAAGGCACAAGAACAATATGTCCTATAGTTGACACAGTGGGTAGAAACTAGTGAACTACTGCAGTTTTTATCTGTACCGATCTTTGCAGACCACATGCAATTAAACGTAGAAAGATGCAAACTATTTTAGGAAAGGCACCCATCTTGTTTGACGTCAGACCAGGATACCCATCCGATCACGTGACTACATCTAAGTGTAGCCAACCGCATAGCATCCAAGATGGCACCAAAGATGGAAGTGTCTATGTAGCCTACATCATGCTTAATCTACCTCTCGCTCTCGGAAGTTCTGATGGCCGAATAGACAGCGCGTCTGCGTTTGAAGTCATGCAATGATTTTAGGAGGGGTTCGATCCCGGTTCCGGACTTTTTTTTCTCTTCTCCTCATCCCCACTGACCTGCAGTCCCATAAATTATCATTTGTAGCTTTGAAGTTTTTTTGGGGGGGGGTTTAAATGTAGATCTATATTAGTGATTACGAATGCAAAGGGGGGGGGTTGATCTAGATCTAGGAAATCCGAAATGTTACCGAAAACACATCGTTCCATGTGGGTATCCTAGGAAGCGAAGACATCACAGTACTAAAGTTAGCAGCCAATCAGAAAGATGCGTCTTCTACGTTTAACGGCATGTTTGCAGACCAGCAGACACTCGCACGCTCAATGGTGACCTAGATTTCCGACTACAACACTGGGCCTAAGCTCATAGTAATATTACCAAATTTGGTATGTGTACATACGCCACTATATTCAGCCAAACAGAAGCCGGTGTAGTGTGCTCTCCTTCGCTCCTGTGGTTCCGTTCGTTCAAGTCCACGATCCATGTACATGCATTTATCGAGAGAAAAAATCCGGAAATCTTGATGACCAAACAGGCAACACAAAGAACAGGGAGGCCAGACAGGACAGAAACAACAGTGTGAGGACAAGTTTGGCGAAATAAGAAACGTGTAAAAGGGAGGGGGGGTCTTGAATCAATGTAATATTACACATTTTCCATTGTGATTAGTTTTATCTGTAATAAATCTAAAGTCTTTTTGTTTTTTCCTTATTACTATTACTATTAAATCTAGTAAGATTATTAAAGAGTGTGTGTATCCAATATTTTACTAGAATGATTTACTGTTATTTTTAAGTGAATCATGTAGAACAGCATTATTATATGTATAATATGTTATGTGTGTATAGATGTTTTTCATGAATACTATTTTCTTGCGTTAGTTTTTTTTCTTCCAGTCTTCCGCTTAGTTCAATCCTGTACGATTACCTGGCACTTCAGGGTCTCTGGCGTACGGCTTTATTGGGTTGTAACGAACGAAACAACAAAATCACCGAAAGACGAATGATACAGAAAAAACAACAACAGAAGAATATTGTTTTCTTTTATTGGAAAGTTCAGAGACTGTTTCAAGGTTGTTCTATAGTGTTCTGTTTATTTTACACTTCTCTCTCTCTCTCTCTCTCTCTCTCTCTCTCTCTCTCTCTCTCTGTTCTCTCTCTTTTTCTCTCTCACATAGATACATAATACGCGTAATATTTTTTAAAAGCAATAATATAATATACACGACTGCAGCGCGCTCAGCGAAACATGCCGGTTATAAAACTGTCCCGCTATGACGTAACACACCAGCGCAGACACATTGCCACATTCTCAAGTGCCAGGGCCACCAAGTAAACTATGGTATGTTATCTTTTTCACATATTATCACAGGAGAGACAAAAAACGTACTTTATTCAAACGTTTTGCGTGGATAAACTTCATTTTCATAAGGGAGCCTACTGTCTATCATGCCATTAGGCTTACTTATGAAAATGAAATTAATCCACCCAAAACACTTCAAGAAAATCCAGGGTTTTTTGGGGGTTTTTTTGTTCTCTCGTGTAAAATGTGAAACGCGTGACTTAGCACAGTTTACTTGGCGGCCTTCACACTACAATATCACGTGCCTACACGTGGCTTCTGCTGCTTTGGCGTATATTATTATTATTA